AGTAGCCAAATCAAGCTGGTTCTCCTCTCCCCTTCTCTCTCCCCTTCTTGCCTGGCTTTGACTAAGTCTTCTCCATCTGGAAACATTTGTAAGTATACAATGATTTTACTCTTGTTCAAGGGAATCTTTGGGTATACACTACATATCCATTGAGCTCAATTATAGGGGCACAATCTTATTCTGCATCATTCTGTCTGGCTATGGCTTGTAAGAACAAATGGCCATCACTGTCTTTTTGAAATACCTTTTCTATATACCATTATTTTCTACAACTTCAGCCTAATGTCAAGAATATTTCTTTGAGAAACTGAAATCTCAAGACAAAGGTGCCTTTTCATAGCCCTTTGAACCTATACTCACTGAGTCCCTTGCACTCTAAGGAAATTTCCTTGCACTCAGCTTCTCTCTCCTACAGGCCCTGATCTGATTAGAGAGAAGTGGGTACAAGAACCAGCTGCTACTTAATAGCTGTACTAACTTGGAGGAGTTATTTTACTTCCCTGGGTCTCAATTTTCCAATTTTCAAAAGGATATAATAACCATATTTACCTCCCAGAGTTGTTGTAAACCTTGAGTAAGACACTGTGTATAATAAAAGGAGTTCCGGTGGTGCAGTGGTTAAGGCACTGGCCTGCTAACCTAGAGGCTGGTGGTTTGAACCCGCTGGCTATTCCACAGGAGAAAGATGAAGCAATCTACTTCCTTAAAGATTTATGGCCTTGGAAACCCTATTGGGCAGTTCTACTCTGTCCTTTGGAGTGGTTATGAGTTGGAATCAACTGGAGGGCAGTAGGGGCTTTTTTGTGTGTGCACATGTGTGTGTAATAAACTTAGTATGCTGTCCGGTCCATACTAAGTATTTAATAAATGTTTGCTGTTATTGTTATTATTATGAAAACTTCTATACCTTACTCAATTCTTCAATTTTTCTTCAAGTAATTAAAGTTTTCCAGAAGTTGCCAATTACCTTCTAAAACCTCCCCTCCTACACCAATACTGAACCAACCAACTCACTCACTGCCTTGCAAACCAGCATTATTCCAGCTCAATTGCATGAGGCCCCTGGTCAACCAACTGAGAATTTCCTCAGTTTGTAAGGAGTCATCCACCCAGGTCAAAACTTTAAACCTATAGCCTCTTCTTGGAATTAAGAGTAGCAAAGTAATTAGAAGATGTAAAATCAAACTAAAAATCTTCACAACTGGGCCAACAAACAACATCATGAAAAAAACTGAAATTGTTAAAAAATTAATTCTACTTGGATCAACTATCAGTGCTCATGGAAGCAGCAGTCAAGAAATCAGATGATGTACTGCACTGGAAAAATCTGCTGCAAAAGACCTCCTTAAAGATCTGGAAAGCAAAGATGTCACTTTGATGACTAAGGTGTCCATGACCCAAATCACAGCCATCATCATTTCCACTGCTGCAAATGCATAGGAAAGCTGGACAATGAAAAAAGGAGACAGAAGAATTAATGCATTTGAATTATGGTGTTGGTGAAGAATACTGAATACATTGTGGACTGCCAAAAGAATGAACAAATCAATCTTAGAAGAAATATAATCAGAATGCTCCTTTGGATGGCAAGAGTTTGTCTTGCTTACTTTGGACACATCACCAGGAAAGAACAATTGCTAGAAAACATCATGTTTGGTGAACTAGAGGGTCAGTGAAAACAAGGAAAACCTTCAATGAGATAGACTGGCGCAGCAGCCTCAACAAGGGGCTCCGACGTAACAGAGACCATGGAGGTGGCACAGGACCCGACAGCACTTCATTCTCTTTTCTTTTGCTATATGTAAGGTTGTCATGTGCTGGAGCTGACTCCATGGCAAAGGACAACTGCAACAAATCTGACTGGATTGGAATCACACAGATCATTTTCCTTCAAACTAAACTGAGATTTGTCTCACTTTTCATAGAAGCTATATGCATGTGTGTACATGTATGGAGGAGGAAACTGGTTAACTGGCATTTCTTATCATCTCTAGGGACACTACCAGTTCTTTTGCAAAGTAAACAGGTGAAGGCATCATTCAACATGTCTGATAAATGGTTCTCTTCTAAAGGGGAAAATATAAGTCCATGTGCCCAGAATCAGTCTCAGCAGTAGTCCATAGATCTTAATGTTGGCCAGGTTAGTAGGATGAAGGATTCACTAGTTTCTAGGGGAATGTTGGACACATTAGACGGTAATAGCCCTTACCATGCAGAACTGGCAAGAAAGTTAAAAGAGAAAACATTTCTAGGCTCTCAACAAATTATTATTTCCATCAAGCAGACTTCTCTTGAAATCCTTGGTGACATTAGGAAATGTGTATCTCCATGTCTAATATTTGGTAAAGATTTCTCTTTTAGTGGCTTCTTAATCCCCTGTATCTAGACGTAGTTTGGATACCAGACCCAGACTATGAAAGGGGTGAACAATGGTGGCTGTTTGTGCCCGTAGATGGTTCTGGAGTAGAAACATGATCTAAAGGGAAAATCCATAGGGTGGGAAGTCACTTATGGCCTGATATAAAAGGCCAGACTCCTGTCTGGGAATCTGGAATTGGGAGAGTGAGAAACTGGGTTGACTGACATAGTCATCTGGAATATGGCTCATCACATTAACAGTAGAACACCCTCATGGAGGCTGACAAACTTCTGCTGCTGAGGTCCTCTAGGGCTGCTCAATTCCAGAACCCTTCTCCCATGAAGCCTGGCTGTTCAAAGGTTCTGCTCATAGAAACCATAAACATCTTTCCCAATATTATTAAAACAAATACCTCCTTTTTTTTTTTGAAGTTTGCTTGAGTGGGTTTCTGTTTTCTTCAACCAAAGTCTTCATTAACAGAGCATCTACCCTTGGGAAGAACTTGCAGATAGAGGTATGCCTAAATGTTTGGATATTTCTATCGCAACATATTGCTGTAACAGTAAATTAGAGTTATAGCAGATACCATAAACTCCTAACTCACTCCTCCATGGCTCTCTTCTACTATAGAAACTGAAGAAGTTAAACCTTTCTCTCTTTCTCACATTCCTTTGTGGTTATGGGAGGTCATGTGACATAGTTCTGGCCAGTGAAATGTAACTGAATATTTGTTGGGGCAAATAGGCTGGCTCTGCCCTCTCCTTACTGCCTTGAACGAAAATGTTATGCTTGGAGCTACCATGAAGGAAAAGTCAGAGAAATACAGAGATGCGCCATACATCTGAGGCGTTAACATTAACGGTCACCTAATTCCAGTTTCCTTTTATGTGAGTAAAAAAATATACCTCTAAACTGCTATTAGTTAGATTTTTCTATCACTTGGAAGCAAGATCTTTTCTAAATGATATACCCTAAAAAGCACTCTAGAACTTGATATTGTTTCCTATTTTGTGAGAAACATGACAATTTTTTTTAACCAAATATATAGCCAACTTTTTTTCAAATTAATTTTTCTAAAAAATCAGTTGAGTTATATAAGCTCTTCAGGCAATTACAATCTAACAAGGGGATAACGCATATACATGACTGACTGTGATATACACATGACTGTGATAAGGCAGAAAACACAAGGGTTGTAAAATGAAGTAGGAAATCAGGGAAGTCTCTACAGGAGAAGCACTTGCATTAAACTGGAGAAAAAGAGGAATTTGGACGTTTGGGGATGGGGAAAAGTGTATTCTAGGTAGAAAGAATAGTTTAAGCAAATATGGGGAAATAAAGGCCAAATATAAGCAGCCAGTTCATTCGGGCTGATGTAGGAGAACAAAGATCCGATTGGAAACTTAGACCAAATTATAGCAAGGCTTGAATGCTAGGTAAAGGAGTCTGGGCTTCATTCTCAAGTCTGTGGGGGTACTGTTGAAGGTTTTTGATCAAACAGGAGTGTGGTGTAGTGATTACATGATACGGCTTTTCTAGCCATAGTCTTTGTAACTCCCACTGGATTACTGAGTAGAACCATGCAAATATGTGTCAACTTGGCTGGGCAGCTGGTAGTAGTAATTCCCTATAATGAGACTGGCAATTAACTCTGTGGTGGGATTTGCCGTGAGCAACTGAGTAGCTGCTTTTAAACCTCTGATTGTTAAAGTCATCCACCTGGGGTATTTCTGTTGGAGCAGCAGTAAGTAATCTTCTGGGAAAGTTCACTCTCTCTCAGGTGTGTAGAACTCTGATGTTGGGATTGGTTAGTTTTGCCACTCTGCCAGGGTTAAAATGAGCCCTCCTAGAGGGACAGGAGGGAAATCTCACTGGCGGCTAAGAGAGATGCTTGGCTGAGAGACACTCGGCTAAGAGATGGCAGTGGTGGAACTGAGAGGCATGGGACAGAGTGGCAGGCTTACCTGGCCCACAGAGGCAGAGGCCAGGCTGAGAGGCCAAGGGCCAGAGAGATGTGTCTAAGGGCACAGCTGAGGGGAGGCTATGCTGATCAAAAAACTGTATCCTAAGCGCATTCCTGAACTTCAATTATAGCCTGTTGCTTCCCTAATAAACCTCATATCTGTGCGTTCTGTGTGGCCACTGCAGCAAATTATTGAACCCAGCAAAGAGGTGGTGGGTGCTGTGGGAGGGATGATGGTTGGTGTCAAGGTTGGCAAGAGGGCTAGAGGGTGGCAGCATGTCTGGCCTCATAGGAATAGGCCTTAGGCTACTGATGGCGAATCTGTCTTCCTCTTGTGTAGTTAGAGGAAGTCAAAAGATGTTACCTCCTTGCCCCTTTAGCAAGGAGTCAGAGTGTTTCTTCAGGAAAATTCACTGATAGCAATATGTGGGTGTATTAGAGGAGGCTGGAACAGCTACTAAGAGGCTATGCAGGTATCTGGACAGGAGATGAGGAGGGTATGAACCAGGATAGTCAAGGTGGGAGTGGAATGGAAAGAAGAAATAGGCATGAGAGACACTGCAGAAATACATGTAACACAACTTGGCTACTGTCTGGCTATGAGATGGGAGACATGGGGAGAAATAATGTAGAAAATATTTTATTGCACAAAATGTAAACAAAATCCTCATGTGATACCTCTGGAGCTGAAGACAGGAATGGTTTTATGTAGATGTTGGAGTCATGCACCTTCAGGTCGTGGTCCCCAAGTCCTCTGGTGACTCCAATAGTTGCCATTACTCGGGCCTAGGAGTATAAGCAGAGGGTTATCAGAAACAATTATACACACTGAGGAAATATTTCTGTCACAATACAACTGCCAAGGGCTAAATTTTCCAGTTCCTTCTGACAGTCTTTCCATGCCCCTTGCTGCTAACTTATGTGGAAAGTTGTTATCAAGGAAGTGCTCACCAAAATCACTTAAGTATTTGAGAAATTATTTGAGGAGTAATTCTTCTACCAATTGTCTTAAGTTTCATGGGGTTCTGCCATCTCCAGCTTTTTCTTTTAGAGACTAGAGGAAAGGGTGTCTAAAACATTAAAGCCAATATATTAGTGATGTCTATAGTTACTGAAAGCAGTTCAAACTGAATCCAACAGCATCCACCCATCCATCCATCCAACCCATCCATCCATCCCATGTCCACTCTACAAGTACATTTACTAAACACTAGCGATGTTCCTAGTTAGGTGACAGGCTCTAGTAAAAGATGTAAAAAGCCAGAGACAGCTCCTGCCCTTGCAAAACCCACCTATTATACTTTATGGCTGGAGAATATCAGCCATTAGCTGTCTCTGGAACATCCCCAACAAACTCCCTGTTGGTAGAAAGGGACAAAATGCAACTAGCACTGAGAGATACTCAGAGGCCTTGGGACTGAGACCTCATCACCTATGTATTTCTCTAAAGTGTTTCTCAATTGTTTTAAGGAAGCAATAACATCATACTAATATTTATGCTGTGAGCCTAATTATCTCCTGGGGTATTTAGTTTTGAAAAGAGGGTAGCTTATATGATGGGATAATTTACCAAAATATTTATTGAGTACCTACTATGAACAGAAGGAGCTCTGGTAGTATAGTAGTTAAGGCGTTTGGCTGCTAACCAAAAGGTTGGTGTTTTGCACCCATCAGCTGATCCCCATGGGAGATAGATGAGGCAATGTGGTGGTTATGTTTGTGTGTCAACTTGGCTGGGCCTTGTTGAGTGGCTGGGCAGCTGGTGGTAGTTATTCCCCAGGATGAAACTGGCAATCAACTCCACGGTGGGATCTACCACAAGCAGCTGGGTAGCTGCCTTTGGGATGTGGTCTTCTTCCTGGATATAAGGAGAAGCTTTGAGAATGGTCTCTAGCCTATGGCACGCTTGGACCCTGTGTGTAGGTCATGTCATTGCTCAGCAGCCTGCTATGCTCTGCCGACCTTGGGACTTACAATGGATTTAAGTTAATGGCCTGCCATGTGGTTTGGTAACATCAGGACTACGCCTTTTTACTTGTCAACCTTGGGGCTTCTCAGCCTCAGCAGCCAGCATCCATCTGAGTGAAGAAATGCCTCTAGCTCCAGTGGGCTGGAAGCAGGAGGCAGAGCTGGATCCCAAGGTTGAGGGGTTTTCACCCAGCCCCTAGAGCCTGGCACTTTGAACTTGGACTTAAAGCCTCTAAATTGTAAGAATAACCTCCTGTTTGTTAAGGCCATCCCATTTGTGTTATATTTCTGTTCAGAGTGGCACTAGGTAACCAGAACAGGCAATCTGCTCCCTGAAAGATTTATAGCCTTGGCAACCCAATGAGGGCTCCTATGAGTTGGAATCAACTTGATGGCAGTGAGTTTGGTTTTTTTGGTTTACGATGGACAGACACCATGCTGTAAAGACACAAATGTATAAGGCCTCATCTCTATTGTAAAGGTACTTGGTCAGGGAGATAAAAGGTGTGCATCTAACTAATATGAACTCTGGTAGTGCAGGGGTTAAAGCATTTGACTGCTAACCAAAAGGTTGGTGGTTTGAACAACCAGCTGCTCAAAGATGAGGCAATCTGCTTTCTTAAAGATCTACAGCCTTGGAAACCCTATAGGGCAGTTCTACTCTGCCCTATAGGATTGCTAAGAGTGGGAATTGACTTAATGGTAGTGAGCTTAGTTTCTTTTCTCTTTATCTAACTAATAACATATAAAATATGGTCAAGTGCTGAAAAACACAAACAATGGGTTGTATGAGTTCAGAGGAGATAAAAATTCTACTGAGGTTTCTTGGAGAAGATAGCATTAAACTTCATGTAGAAGGACGGGCAGAACAAGACAGGCAGACACAGGATGGAGAAAAAGCTGTTCTGAGTGGTATGAATCCCAATGGTCTGACCCTTGAATCAATAACATATCCAGCATGGGGTCATAGTTCAAAGACTCCAGCCTGAATCCTCACTCTACCCATTGATTGGGTATAAGAGTACCCAAGGGCTGTGCAGTAGGAGAACCTCATAGGGCTGAGGATGAAATAAATAAATGTGAAAAAAACATGATCTTATCTAACAATTATCATCTTCATTCAATTTTCACAAAATGGCTATGAATTTTGGAGCTGGTCTCAGATGAGAAGGATTTACATTAAAGGGTAAATAAAACCATGACACATTTTTCAAAAGGCAAGAGTCCAAAGAGATTGGTAAAATGCAGACACGTGATGTGAAGCCTGTGCAGGTCTCTGGTCAGGCAGGCTGCAGAGAAGGCCTCTGCTTGGTGGGAGACTGAATGGGCTCCCCCTGATGCAAGAAATGGAAAAACAGAAAAATTCTGAGTTCTCTGTGGCCGTTCTGAGCTTCTCCCTGCCGTGGCAGTTTCTCTAGCCAAAAAAATCACATGCCTGTATTCCAAAGAAATTTGATACTTGTTTCTGCTAGTTACTGAACTAGCTTTATAAAGTATACATGTGTTATGCACCTATGTCCTTAATAGTTTTGTGGAAATAAAATGAAAACTAATGGCTACAAAAGTACCCTAAAACTTCTGGGAGGATGTATGCAGAAAGGAAAAAGAAAACTCCTATAAATGATTTAGGCAGAACTGATGTTTTTCTAATGCTGAAGTTTTAAAGATTTCTCAAGAAATCATGGGGTCATCAGACAAGGATGGTGTGCTCTACTTTGGTCCTAGGAAAGCCTACCAATAAAAACAAACTGGAGGCATAGCGTCTTTAAGTAGGTTGACAGGTAAGATGACAGAACTTACCAGCTGCACATCACAGGACTGTCAAGGCTTAATAAACTGACATGCTTGAGGAACATGATGCTCAGGAAAACTGAACTTTTTGCTTAACTGGGAAAACCCTTACTCCTTTAAATATTATTGCCGATGATCTTCTAAGGATACTTTGTTCATTTTCCCATTGTATGAAGGAGAGTATATCAAATATAACTGTAAAGCTTATTTTGTACCTGTGCATTTATTAAAGGTCTGCTATGCATCACATACCAGGCTGGACAGGCACTGGGGATTAAAGGTAACAGGACAGTCCTGATCTTACTAGAACCCACTGGAAATAGCAGAGGAATATTGAGAATCTCAGCCCCTCAAAGAACTCTAGCTGCAGGTGTAGGTAATTGGGCTGAATAATACCTACTAACAGTGCCCACTGTACTCAAAGACTCACATATTCCTGTTAGGAACAGTGCTCATCTTTGTAGTGATTCCCAACCAGGGATGGTGAGACAGAGGGTATCCATCTCTAGGAAGGGGCAAGCTAATTTAAAACTTGATCCCCATGTGGATCAGATATAAATGTTTCATTTCCCTCCACGAAATGCCTCTTTCTGTTGAAATCACCTCTGGGCTACCTTGAACCCAAAACCTAATCCTGTAGGCATGCTCTCTCTCAGATAAACACATTCACTGTAACACACATACACACACACACACACAAACACACACACACACACACGTCCTGCCCATGTGTTTTCTTCAGTTTTCTTGTGAGTCACTTCTTTCTGGTAAAAACTATAAAATGTTGGGAAAAAAATTCAGTTGATTGTTTTTTATGTGACCACATTTTTCACTTCCAATTGAAGCTCTTAGCACTGAGTTGGAACGTATTAGTGTTCAGAGGAAGAATACAATGATTCAGAAGGTGTTTGTTCTTAGTGGGAAATGGATTCAAAGCTTCTTCATCTCCCTCTAGGATTTCAACCTCCCCCAAGTCTATTCACAGACCACTCTAAGATCTGCTCCTTCCTTTGGCTCAACAATGTGCTGCTGAGGGTTTGATTCTGACTGGGGTCTTGGGAGGTGATGATGGTCTCTGCTACCTCAGCTTGGGCTCTGGTTGATGTGTAAGTAATAAATTAGAAGTGACCTCAAAGCTAATTACAGTGAAGCTTTGGATCCCTCCCACGGGTCAAGTGGAAAAGCAGATTGTGGAGTCTGAACTACCATGAGAGTGTGAGAACACTAGACTAGACTGGACATGGCTTTAAGTCTGGTGCTGCCACTCAGTAGCTGTGTGACTTTGTCTGAGATACTTTAATCTTGGAATCCCAGCTGCCTCATCTACTAAATGGACGTAACATGGTCAGCTTTGCCTGCCTCCTAACTTGTTGGCAAATATAAAATAAGATGATTTATGTGACAGTGGTCATGTATAAACACTGCAAAAAGCTATTCCAAAAAACTGACTTTAGTCCCTTGTGTTCCTTCTTCTCCAGCAATGCCCCTCCTTGGACCCTCAAGACAGGAGGGCCTGAAGGATGATGGATGCAGCATTCTTTCAAGCTGTCAAAGCTATAAAATCATGAGCTGCTGAGTAGAACACACAGACTGCCAAGGGTTACACAGAGCAGCAGCAGGGCACAGTTTTGTCATCGCAGCCCTGGGGAAACACACGTGCCTACCTTCTTGCCTTCTCCATATATAAGGGGAAACTTCAAGTCATCATCCTCAATGGTTTTGTATGCCCTGTAGGGGGATAAACAACATTTTTAAAAAAGGTGTGCACTCAATTAGTGACCCGCTGCCCTGACACAGGCTGCTAGGCAAGTTATTTTCTCTGAGACTCTATCCACTCACCACACTGCCAATCTTTATATAGAGTTAGTCTCCCTACAGAATTATGTGTGTGCTTGTTATCAAACCAGAAAATACCAAGTCTATATATGCTTGAAGAGGGAGAAAAAAATGTTTGCATATTCATAATTAGTAAGGAGGGGGCATAGGGCTTCTGTCCTAAGCATGGAGAGTCTGAGCAATAATGAAGTAACCCAGCAGTAGAGACAGGGTTCTCATTATTAATCCAAAAGTGTGAGAAACAGCAGAACTCAGAGATGGATGGAGTGTGAAACTGCTCCAGGAGCCAGTTCTCACCTTTAGGGGCTGTTTACACCAAAGCAAGCCTAGGATTGGGAGTGCTGGGGAAGGAATATTTAGAGCCTGTTTGACCTCAGTGTGATTGTCAAGGTTGGCAGGAAAGTCTTTGTTTCATAATAGCTTTTAAACAGCCATTTGACACACAGAAAGAAAATTCAGTTTATGCTTCAATGGTTTACTCTGGACATGGTTGTCCAGATGTCACTATGTGCACAGCTGAGACTGCAAGGTTAAGGGGACAAAGCAAATGAAGCCCATTTCTTGCAGTTTTGCTCATGAGGAAGTTAAAACAAACATGGCACTTTATCACTAGCTGTTATCACCCTTGGCAAGTAGCTTCAACTTTCTTGGTTCTCAATTTCCTCATCTATAAATTAGCACAACCACACAGGATGTAAAGAGCTTAGCATTGAGCCTGACATTTAGAAAGTGCTCAGTTAGTGGCAGCTACTGCTAGTATCTAGTAGATAATGAATCCTTTGGCATGCCAGTTCCCCTTTCTGGGGATAGCACTGGCTATTTACCACACTGCTGATGATCTTTCTTTATATATATATATATCCCCCAAAAAAACACCAAAAACCAAACCCACTGCTGTTGAGTTGGATCTGACTCATGGCAACCCCTCCTTGGGTTTCTGAGGCATATCACTATGGAAGAAGATTGCCCAACTTCCTTCTGAGAAGTGGCTGTTGGGTTTGAACTGCCAGCCTTCTGGTTACCAGTCAAATGCCTTAGGCACTATGCCACCAGAGATCCTATATGCCCCATATACACACACTTGTATATATGTATATATGGAGAGAGAGAGAGAGAGAGAGAGAGAGAGAGAGAGAAAATGAGTGAGTTATTTTCACTGTGTGTGTTTAA